AATACATTTGGAACAATATTGGTAATCAAACAGTTGCTGGGCCCTCACTACTTCCATATATGAGAAGAAAAAAGAAAAAAGAAAAAAAAAACACTATTGGAGTCAGTTGGGACCAGAAACTGGTTACGATCATTCTTCAAAATATCTTCTTTTATGTTGAGGAGGAAAAGGAAATTCATAGAGGTTTAGAACAATTTGAGGGTAAGTATATGATGACAGTATCTTCATTTTTGGGTGAATATCCTTTTAAGATCTCATCATATAGGCTAAGGATCTCATATAGCCTAACACATGCTTTATCTTTAACTATTAACATTCATTTAAGACACAAATAACTGTGTTTACGAGGATACTCGCAAAGACGGGCATTTTGACACATAACTATGTGTATTTGACCGTTTAAGCACAAGGAGCGAAAGTTTAGTCAGTAATACGAGCAGGTGCGCGCTGCGCGAATCAGGTCGAAACCGCTTTAACACACGCATTTACCAGAATGAATTCTGCCCCGCAGCGTAATGTCCATGAACAGTATAAACCATTTGTTTTAAAACCTGCTTAAAACGCCTTGAAATTATAAGCTTAGACTACATCATGACGCGCTTCAATCAACGATTGATATATTTCTACCGGATTATCTCCCAACCCTTAAATGAATATAGTTTGTTCAAACACAAAAACAATATAAATCCAGTTAATAATCAAACTAACCTAAAATCTGTGTGGACGATGACACTGTTTTTATCTGCTCCATGTGCCCGGTTCACTTGCTGTTCCAGCAACTTCCACTCCATCATCAGCTTTAGTAAAATAAGTCATGTTTTTTATGTTGTTTGTATTTCAACATATCGTTCAAAAGTCAAATATAGAATAAATGCATTTGACTGGTAAACCAAATTCAGACTTTACGTTTCAATCTGGTAATGCATGGAATTTACGGGAAAGCTCAACTAAATAACAGCGCTAATAAGTGGGGGGCGTGGTGGTTTTGGCGATCGGCGCTCCAGTCAATCTACTCCACAGCCAATCACGGGCCCCCTCCTTGCTCGGGCCCCGGGGCTTCAGCCCCGCCTAGCCCAATGGTTAAAACGGCCCTGCTTATAACAGATTACAAAATTTAGTAATTGTGGTGCTTCTAATTAAGTGATAAAAACCAGTTGCAAATGTTGTACAAAATGCGCATACTAATCTTTGCATGCAATAAAATGCGCAACACTTTATGTTTTACTACCAAACTAAGTATTATTATAATATTTAACTTACACTGGAAAGGTTATCACAAAATCTTGTGAGATCTTGACAAAAAGTCTCAGGATTTATTTCCACAACATGATGCATGATGGGATACGCTTGTGCTTTAAGGGCACTGGGTTTGGGCATTTTTAAGACCTGGGACAGTCTTGCGAACTTACTTCCTGCATGCACACGCTCTCAAGTGGCCAAGACTGCAAGGGTGGGTAATTGGACCCAGATACTTCTGAAGTTTCCTTTGTCCTTTGACTTGTGTTTTTGACCTGTGACATACTAACACTCCCAGAACATGTAGGCACTGAATTGACCCAAAAACTGACCACAGTGAATAACTTTCTTAATATCTTTAAAAGAGCCACACAATGAAGTCAAATTCTATTGCATTGCAGTATCTCTTTGGACCCCAAAGCTTTTTTACAGGTTGAAATAACGTTTAATAAGCTGTATATTTGGTGCCTGAATATAAATTTTACGAAATCTCTTTATACAGAATATACATTCTCTCTTTTCTTTTGGCTGCTCCCGTTATGAGTGAATTTTACACTGGATGGTCCTTCCTGATGCAACTAGTCAGCATATGCTGAACGTCACTATGTTACGTCACTATCATACTATTATGAGTAGCTAAAAATTTGTGACATCACATGGTATGTTTTTGACAACATTTGAAAAACTCTATCTACATTTTCGCATAACTACAAAACAGGCTACATGAAATTCACTGCAGTTTCCACGTGAAATGAACACTAGAAGCAGTGGAACACCAACAACTTTTATTCCTTTTCACACAAATGATTGGCTTTTCTGATCTATTAAATTTGCTCAGTAGCTCACCTGGCGCAGCGATGCACTTGTGATGCGGAATGCTTAGATACGAGTAAAAGACATGTAGAGACAAGCTAAAACAGCATGTTTGCTGCAGCAAATGCGTTCTTATCTCAAGTGTGCTTTTGCTTTTTTGAACAGAAATTACAAATGACTACCTCTCGGTCTAAGCGGAACAGATTCTGCAGGGTGCTAGAATGTTTAACAACAGCATCACACAATTCTTTGCCATTTTTTATTTATATAAATACATTTTTAAAAAATCAATAGTATTCTATTTTATTTATTGTAAATTCAAAACATCTTAAGAGAATGAAATCCTCGCGCATGTGCAAAGCCCACATTACAAACCTCAGAGAATGAACTTGTTCTTGTTTAGTATTATGATCATTTGTGATTCTGAACGATTTTGATGTTTGCAACGTATGCAATAAGTATAATGTAATTGTATAAGCATATCCATTCTTAAGTATGCACGGCAGCTATTTGTGTTATAGTGACTACAATGAAGCTTTTAAATTCCTGAAAAAACAAAAAACGCCTCTCAGTACAGAAAAGTGAAAAATATCCTGGACATTTCCGAAAGCCCATTGCGAGACATAAAAATGTTCGGGAAGGACATCATTCCGCTGCGGTCCACGTTGGTTTGGACTGTGTAGGACTTCAGCTCTGTTTTGCCGGTCAGCACAGAGGTATGAATGACAGCGATCCTCGCCTCCTCGTGGTAAGGGGCGTCCCTGTCCTTGCCTATGATAATTTTATAGCTCTGTCCAGGCTTCCAGAAGGGATAGGTGACCGTTAGAGTCTCCAAGCGCTGCACTGTGAAGTACTCGAACGGGACGGGCTGCTCGGCGGCGGGCTTGCACTGGATCAGAGACAGGTGCTGCACCTCAGAGTTGTTCAGCAGGAGGGGCACGTTAAGAGGCGAGCTGTACCACACCGTCAGATTCTTTTTGTGAACCGGGCTGGGACTCTCGGCCCTGTGCAGGACAGATGATTGATCCTTGCAGTTGCTGAACTCGCTGGAGTTCATCTTCTCACAGAAGGTCAGATCCTGGGCACATGTGCACATGTACACGCTGCGCTCAGTCACGTAGGCCACCTTGAATTCAGAGCGCAGGAAGGCAGGCGCAGCGAGCCACAGTATGCAGCACAGCACTGCAAAGCTCATCGGACTGCACAGGATCATCGGGATTCCTTTGAGACCTGCGTGTGCAAGAAATAAAAATAAATTATTGTTCAGCTTCGACCGTGGATCCGTTCCAATACCTGGTCAGCTGCCTTGTGTCTGCAGACAGCATCCTAACTGAAATGAAACCTCATTAGTGACGATTTGCATCGCTCTTCTTACAGCCCGCATTGCGTACAGCTCAATGTTTATTTCGGGTCTTTGAAAAGGCTGAAGTAACTCTGAATGGGTAGTATATAGCATGCTTCAGGGATGACAATGCCGTAGGCCAAAACCCAGAAACGAGGTCGCAATTTAGCATTTTCAGTTCCATCGTCCCGAAGTCAGTGGGTGTTTTTGAATGGATTTTGGTTAAACGCATGAAATAAGGTCTGTGGTTAACGCTTAAAATATATTGTCTTTTTTTAAAGCTTTACTTGTCTTGGAAAAGGCGATTGTTAACAAGTGGCTAAATGGGACTACAGAGGCTATCGGCCCTGCTGAAAAAAAATATAGAAACCATCACCAAAATTCTAATGGTTTTCACTATAAATACCAATGCAGACATTACAAACCATCAACTATTATCCATTAAAACCATTATAAATGGTTTCTGTAGTGTGTTTTGGGACATATTGCTTTAGGATTTAGTGGTTTGAACAAGCCACCAATAGAAGGTGACAAATTACCAGTAGAGACCAACAGAGACCGTTACAGTTTCCATTAAAACCAATCCGATGTAAACACTTTGTTCAAATTACCATGATGAACAAAACGTGTAAGAATCAGAAACTTTTTTGGTCACAGAGTTTAATAATCCAAAAGCTAATGGATAAATCGAGTTGGATTTTGTCAAGGGAGTTATAGTGACACTAATTGTTCTACAAAAATACGTCATCAATGCAGCGTCCTATTTGGTGCCTGACAAAACCACTGCAAAATCGCATAATGAAATCTAAAACATTGGGTAAAATGATTCATTTTGAATTAGACTGAACTATTTTATTGACTTACTGAATTAATTTACTAAATTAATTCTATTTACGACAGTAGTATAGTTCTCTGTCCCTCCGTTATCTTGGGTGATTATCCCTGAGCTTGTTGCTATTCATTTCTATAAAGGATACTTTGTCTTTAAGAAGGATTTGTCTTAATATGCCAAGAATTGTTCTATCTTTTGGAACAGCCCAGAGTGTGCCTTTAAATGCTGGCCAGATTTCAGAACAGAGCCAGTCTCCTTGTAAGTGAAAGAGCTGCGACCCACCAGTATGTTTCAGTGATGCGTGAACAGGAGCGCCACTGTGCTGGTTAGTCAGCCAATGCGAGATGTAGAGAGGCCAATAAACCAGGCTCGGTCCTCTGACAGTCTGTGGTGCGGCCCACTTTGAGCAGTGCCATGGTTTTAAGGGACAGTTTGAGCTGCTGTCTCAGCTGGCTGAAAGAACAATATTGTCCAGAGAAACACGGTGAACATAAAATGGTTCAGAGGGCCACAATGAAAAGCTCGTCTACCACGAGGAGTGTGAAGATTTTGAAAATAAAGAAAAGCATTCTGCACTATTGAAATGTAAGCAAATTTGACATTGACTGTATTTCCATGTCAGCTTCGGGAATGCAGCAGAAATCGTAATGAATATTCTGCATTAAATAATAATAAAACAATGACAATAGAAGAGTTTACAAGAGTTTAGCACTGCCCATTTTTAACTTTACACAGACAACTGCATCGTCGGCCTATTTAAAACACTGTTTTCCATTCAAGTATTTGCACTTATCTACATCATCAATAATGAAGCCTTACCTTTTTATCGGCTTTCTTGGGCAACTTCAAACCCGAAGGTTTGGATTTTATGAGCTAGACACTCACTAAAATTCCTAAGCAGCAGTTCAGCTGCAGTACTGTCGTTTGAATTGGCAGTCTACTTCCAATCTATGTCTTAAACTATGCTTGGGTTTCTTATTATGCAACAAAACTGGCCGGAGGTGACGTGCCGTTAGCAACCACTGTTTCTCCTGCTGGTCCAGAACGCATGCAGCTGTCCTCCATTTTCTGCCCTGAATAACACCAGGGTGTGTCCACACTTCATCAGCATGTCTGAGCTCGCTCAAGATTTACTTTCCATCTCACCTCTCGCACAGAGCAAACAGTGCTTTAAGAGCTCTTGTAAACATGAACCGTGAACTGTTCGTTCTCAACTAACATCACTTTCGATCGTTAAATCCTCTTCCTAGCTTTGAATACAGGGTCTACATAATGGACCAGTTCATAAAGATTGTCCTTCATAAAGAATTCCTGGCAGCTTTGCCTGTGCTGATTCACAGTTTCCTGTAACTGATCAGAGAAAAAAGTCTGTGAGCTGTCTGAGCTGTCAAAAGATAATACCCTGGGCAAAGATTTTTATGTCTTGTTAAAGTGGTTAGACTGTCTTTAGATAAACACTGTCTACATATGGCTCCATTTACAGTGTCACATCTAAACAGAAGGAAAAGAAAAGGTAAAAATGCACACAGTACCTGTTTGTCGGCAGTCAAACACATCTCCATCTCTCGGTCTGAGCGTCTGGACCTAACAGCTCATTCATGGGCTGCGGGGTTGGACTTACCGGATTCAGAGGCTGCCAAAGCCACATGACCGTGTCCTCAGCATCTTGCTATGCATGACCGGCTAAGCCAAGAAGGAAAATGTTAACTACATCTGGGAATAACGTGAGACAGTCAATAAAAAAAATTATGTAAGCACAGATGAAGCTTATAAAAGCATGTGCTTGAAGCAGGGCAGGGTCTACTGGAAGTTCTGGAAATCTTGATGAATATTTAAAAATAAAAATAAAAAGGTTTAAAAACATAAAGAGTGTATGGTTATAATTGTTGTGTTTTCAAACAATATTTCTATTCATATTTTTATGATTTATCATCCTTATTTACGAACTTGACTGGTGCGGGTCAGTGTGTGTTAGAGTGGAAGGACCTGGGGATGTGGGAGCTGGGGGGGTCGGAGGGTCAGACATCAGGGGTGCATGGGGCAAAAGAGGGGAGGGGGGCAAGGTCGGGAGGGAGTTTAGCTTCCTGACTGCCTGAAGGATGAAGCTGTCCTTCAGTCTGCTGGTCCTGGCCTGGAGACCCCGCAGTCTCCTCCCTGATTGCAGCAGCCTGAAGAAGCTGTGTGTCGGGTGGGTGGGATCACCTGCAATGCAGAGGGCTTTGCGGTTGAGACGGGTTCCATAGATGTCCTGGAGGGAGGGAAGAGAGACACCAACGATCTTCTCAGCTGCTCTCACTATGCGTTGAAGGGTCTTGCGGCAGGACCCATAGCACACAGTGATGCAGCTCGTCAGAATGCTCTCGATGCTGCCTCTGTAGAAGGTGCACATGATGGGGGCCGGGGCTCTGGCTCTTCGCCGTTTGCGGAGGAAGTAGAGACGCTGCTGTGATTTCTTGGCCAGTGCAGGAAATGTAAAATTAAATTTGTAAATCTGAACAAAATATTTCTATATCTGTTTGGCTAAGAAGTGAACATCGTAAAACCACACTGGCATTAAGACTCTATATGTGTGTGTGTGTGTGTGTGTGTGTGTGTGTGTTAGGTTGGAGTAAATTGTTGTGTGTTTTAAAGAGTCATTTCTTCTCAAATCAGGCACATGTTACATGTAATTACTATTATAATAACAATTAATTATGCATAATTACATGCAAGTAACCCTGTGCCAAACCCTTAATCTTAACCCTATCCATTTAGTAAGTGCATGTAGCTAATTAATATTACTAAGTTCTTAAATGTATAATTACACTGTAACAAGGACACCTTAGAATAAAGTGTAACCACAGCAGGTAATACTAGCCTATGACAAATAACCACACTGTATAGCCTATGTGACAACACTGCAGGCTATTGGATCAGTGTGTAAACCTTTCCTTAGCAATAACAGTGACTAAACATGACTTTTAAAAATAACTGACCACACTGAGAAATTATTACAGTCTTGGTCTCCTTACACTAATATAATTAGGCTTATGTTTAGTCCATTTCCTTTACCGAGCACTCGGGTAAGCTGACTTTCCTGACAGCTTTTTGCTTTGGGGCTATTATGTTTCTTTGAAATGTATCCACAAGGTGGAAAGCACCGGATCTTTTATTTCACCGAGTTGCCAGATTTGTTTAAAATCGAAAGACGAAATACAACGTTTCACCATGTTAGGAGAATTCATATATTAGGAAAAAAAATATATATATATTACCAATCAAATAAAGAAATTACCTATACAGTTTATAATGTATTAAAGCACGAACCGGTCGCCTTGTTGATTTGTCGGGCGGAATATTTGGCAACCCTGTCAGATCGGCTCCAGTAGAAGAGAGACCAGAACACAGAGCCCACTCAGGAAATGCTTTAGGAAACACATCTGAACGCGTTTTAGAAAACAGATTTATGACAATGTCGAAGGATCCTGTTGTCCAGTTTGGTGTGTTTTACGCCTTACTGTTCCCAGGAGTCTTTGGTTTTGGTGAGTATCATTTTGCTGAAGCCTCTCGCGCTAACGGTGGCACATTGTTGTATTATATTGTATCTTTTTATGTGTCCCATTGTGAGCGTCTATGAGATATGCAGCATGCGTTCACGTAATATTAAAATAAAAGACATTCTAGTATATTCGATATACTATACAATCGCTGCGTTTGTATTATTTGAATGCGTGGATGATAGCAGGCATGTTTGGGTTCCCAGGCACGGTCATGGAAATCCTGGAAATATAAGCACAGTTTACAATTATGATATTTTATCGTCTAGTCTGTTTTTGAGTTCAGTCTACAACAGACATTAGCCTGCTTCAGTTATAAATCCCTTGAGATTCAAACTAGTTCGCATTTGGTTAGAGATCTATAGTAGCGAGCCTGTGTGTTTTTTATAGACGTAACGAGCCTGTGTGCTAACTTAAGCTAAAGGTTCCCCTTCATTTCTGTTGTTGTTTTCAGTATAGAGCTTGAGCTAATAGCCTAGATCCGAGGAAACTAGTTGTAATATAACAAAATGTTCCTTCTCCTCTTTTGCGTCTAGAATCAAAAACAAAGACTGTATTATTTACTGTGTCAAGGCACTTTATGTTAAAAGTTAAAGGGGAAGCTTTACAGCACAAACAACAAGGGTTTACATTGCCAGTATTACACTGATAATATCTACCACAAATTACAGTACTACAGTGTTTTTGGTTGGCATGCTCTTGGTTTTACTCTACCATGCTAAATACCATCAATAAACATGGTAATCATTCAATACCAGTGAATATGAAAATTATTTAATTAGCACCACAAAGTTTTATAAAAGTAAGTACTTTACAAAAGACATATATTTCTGCTTAAAGGTTCACATATAATGTGAACAAGAAATAAAATCGGCTAAAATAATAAAAAGCAAGACAATAAAGAGAGAATTATGTTGACTGAGATTTAATTAGTTTGAGCCAGCCAAATCATTAATTAAACATTATTTCATAATTTTACCTGTATATTATCCTAAAGCTTCTACTAAAAATAAATTAATAACTAAAAACAATGAATCATCCTAGCAGCATGATGAACACTGTAACAGTATTACAGTAATAATACTATAGTCCTCTGAGGTGAAGTTCACTACTGTTGATTGAGGTGCAAGATGGTGGTGGTGGTTGCGTTTGTTTAAAATAAATAAATTAAAAAATGAGAGCGAGTTTGTGGTAGTAGGGCCAGTACACTTATCCGGATGAGCGGTCTGATATAAAGCATTGCCATTGATGACAGTGAATATTAGCAAATATCTGTCAGCTGAAAGCCATGAATGACCAGTCACTCTCAAGTATTCCAGAGAGCTGTGTGATAAGCAATGATATGTGCTTCTGTAGGAAAAATGTATTTAGTTGCCAAATTCCTGGGGAAGAACTGTTAATCTTAAGAAGCGATCCATCAGTCAAAAAGGTTGTTGTTACCATGAGAGTGCAAACTACGGCAGGAGAGGTCAGTGAAGGCCGTCTGCGTCATGAAACACTGTGGAGGATGTTACTGAGCCGGTGAGATCATCAGCTCAGGCAGGACACACATACAGATGTGCAGTTCTGTGAGAAAACCACGGCTCAAAATGACTTCAATACACTTAAAGGTGGGGTAAGCGATTTCTGGTAGCCAATGTTGACATTTGAAATCACCAAAACAAACACGCCCATACCCCAAAAGGGTCTCGCCCCTATTTTGATAGCTCCGTCCCACACATACGTACGCAACCCAGGCAACGATTAGTTCTGTGAAGCAAAACCAATGTTACACCGGACGAGAGCGGCGTGGCGCAACAAAATACTATGGAACTCATTATAATCAGTGATGCTGTCTACACCATAGATATATACATGGGCGTCGCTAGGCCATTTTTAGGGGGCTATAGCCCCCCTAAAATGACTACTCAGCCCCCCTAGAATTTTGCGATTAGCTCCATAAACTGTACACGAACTCGTGATCGGCTCAGTCCCCTTTCAATTTCATATGAAAACGGCGGCAGACTTCGATTGGCTCCTCCCCGTCTTTCAGCGCATTCTTTTTCAATCCGCAGACCGCAGCGGCGCAGAGCGAGAAACAGAGGACAAGGTGTGTGTTTATCGATAGATTGCATCTGTGCAGTTCTTTGTCATAAATCCAGTTTACAAAATATCATGGGGGAGCAATAATCGGTTCCCCATCTACTGTAGCCTAAGTTTTCACTGCGTTCACCCCTCATCACACCACAGCTGTTTCC